GTCTTTCTTCCAAATCAAGACGTGGGGAGCTGAAAAAAAAATAAAAATGCTTAACCCTGATAGAACATCTACCTCAATTACAATCACCTGTGCACCACCAGAAACATTTTGGTGTGTTTCTTTCAACGAATCAGGTTCTCTCCATTCAGACTACCCCCTCTGTGATGCTGCATGACCATCATCTCGTTTGGGGTGCTCTAATTGTCCTCCCTTCTTCCACTCTCTCTTCTCGCCTTCTAACGGACATGCCTCACAGGCCCAATGACCTTTCCCCAGTGCAAACATGTCTATTAACATTCAGTGACTCCCCACTGCCTTCAGAATATCACCAAAACTCTTCATCTGATCTGGCCTCTGCTTGTCCCTTGTCTGCCTCATCAGTCACCATATCCTTTGTTCTGTTGTTTTTAGTTAATTCTGTCTTCCTTGTGACTAACAGAGGGAGTAAACAGGATTTTGTGTTTAACATGCAACAGACCTATGAATCTTATGACCTTAGTAATGTCACTCCGGGGAAGACATTCTCGCTGTCAAATTTACCATAATTTGGCGGGTATGGAAACTGCTGGGGAGGGGCTTGTGGCATCACGGGCCCTGCCAAGACCCCATCCATGCTGGGGGAAGCGGTCACGTTGGGGGGTGGGCTGAAGGCCTGGGTTTGCTGCTGCTGCTGTTGCTGCTGCTGCTGCTGCTGCTGCTGCATCATCATGGCCACCCTCTGCTGTCGGAAGTGATGACTGAGCAGCTCTCTGCTGCGCTGGGCAACCATCTGGGCATTAAGAAAACCCTGCTGATACCCCAAAAGAGAATGTAATTACACAGAGCCAGAACCAGCCAATTCCATACATGTAGTACCACCACAATACATTAGGTGCGAAAAATCACCCGATGCCTCTCTTCACAAAAAAGGAAAAATGCACGGTTCTCATCACGGTAAAGGCGTTCCGGTGAGGCGACGAGGTGCAGAACAGGGACCTGGAAATTGTTCAGGCGAGTCGTCAAGCTTTAACACAGAAAACATTTCTCAAAGTGAGAGAACACTGAAGGGTAGAATGTGAGGACAACCTTTTCAGAAAATGTGAAATAAAACTACAAGAAGGAAAAAGGCAGCAGTAACAGTGCAGGAGGAGGGGAGGCACAACAGAGCACTCCCCCAAAGAATGGGGTTACCCTCCGGTAAGCAGGAATCTACCCCAGAAAGGGCCTGTATAGTCTCCTTAAAGCTTCTGAAGGGAGAGACGGAGGGTTAGGAGCAGCGGTCTGGAGGGTCCGGAGGTACATGGTCCAAGCCCAGAACCAAAGAGCTGATTTGGGCCCCATCAGCTGGAAGAGAACATCTCCAAAAAGCAAACTCATCTTTTCGGAGGGCACCCTAACTCAGCTTACTCAAACTGTGTTATCATCAAAGTACTTCCGAGTAGGCTTAAGACAGTAAATACTGGGCATTTCACAGTGGGTTGTTTCTCTACAGTAATTATGAACAGAATTTCTAACCACAGTAGAGGACTTCCAGGTGGTCATCTGCCTCGTGCACATTAATACCGTAGAACAGTCTCCACCTTGGGCTGGAGGTACAGAGAACTTGAACATCATCCTTCCCACTATGGGAAACAGGTCACCTCAGAGGTGATCCTTGAGAGTAGGATTATGTATTATTTATTTTCTTCTTATAACCTCAGATTTTACCCAGCGAGCACGTGGTTTCAAAACCCAGAAACAGAGAGAAGTTTCCAGATTTACTGAATTCCTAAAAAGTAAGTGATAGCTGTTTTCACAACACAGCAAATGATCACAAAGGGAATTAATTAGCAAACACAAAATAGCAGTTTTAATAAAAAAACCTCTCCTCCTGACTCTTCCTCATCACCAGCAAGACAGAAGAATGGAAGAGGGAGTGTGAGGAGATCGTGGAATGATTTCTTACACCAGAAACTTGCTGTAACACACGTTTACTGAGGGCCAATCGTGGAGCAGGCCCCACAGTAATACACTTGGAGAGGTCTGTTCTCACCTGGGGATTTACCTGGGGCTGCATCATGGGCCTCATCACCGCAGCACCCCCAGCAGTGGGGTTTTCCATTTTCATTTCCAGTGCCTGACGGCTCTGATTCAAAAACTGGGGAGAGACAGGCTGGTTAGGATGGAAGTGGACTATGTCGATGAGCCCCAAACAGCTTTCCAAATCCTCGGCACCACCCGGAGAGGTCACGATGCCACCTCCAACCCATTAACCTGGTCACATCACATCTACACGGAACCCACACGCTTCCACACTTCAAAACAAGTTCAGGCTGAGGGCGGCCTGGCTGTCTCAGTCAGTGGAGCATGCAACTCTTGACCTCAGGGTTCTAAATTCAAGCCCCACGTTGGGTGTAGAGATTACTTAAAGATGTAAAATCTTAAAAAAAAAAGGGGGGGGGCACCTGGGTGGCTCAGTTGGCTAAGCGTCTGACTCGATCTCAGCTCAGGTCTTGATCTCAGGGTCGTGAGTTCAAGCCCTGTGTTCAAAAAAGTTCAGGCTGAAAAGTCCTTGGCAAGCATTTGAAGCTTTATTTGGCATCAGGAGGAAAAGTAAAAGTGTAATTGTGCAGCTTAAAGACGATCTTTGGGGCACCTGGGTGGCTCAGTCAGTTAAGCCCCTGACTTTGGCTGAGGTCATGATCTCACAGTTCATGGGTTCGAGCCACAGATCAGAGCCTGAAGTCTGCTTCACATTCTGTGCTTCCTCTCTCTCTCTGCGCCTCCCTCGCTTCTGCGCAGGCGCTTTCTCAAAAATAAACAAACATTAAAAAAAAAAAGACGATCTTCAAAAGAAACTCGAAGGATTCATAAAGTGAGATTTTTTCCCTAGAATTATTTAGGTCATTAGGGAAATAGCTTTAACTTGCTCAAACTAATACTGAATGAACTTCCTCTTCTACCTTTTCCCAGGTAACTTTTAGAGGAAAGAAGGGGTGAAAAGCCAAATGATACCATGCACGTATGAGCACAGCTTCTCAGGGTACCCACGCTGACTTTTAGGAGTGGGAAGGCACTAGCACAGTCTGTGGCTCGCTGGACTCCACACTCACTCACTCAGCTGCTTACATGGTTCCGTTCTGCCACATTCACTAACTCGGCACAAACAATGTAAGTAATTAAATTTTAAAAGATTTGTCGGGCATTAAGGAAACAATAAAAAAGGGAAATCTTATCTTAGAATGTTAAGAGAGCTCAAGTTTCACAAAACACCTAGAAAGCAGAGGTTCCATAAAAAGAATGCGCAAATCATGGGGCTTGTAGGTGGCTCAGCTGAGCGTCCAAGCCTTGATTTCGGCTCAGGTCATGATCAGGTCCTGAGATCAAGCCCCACGTTGGACTCCACACTGACAGCACGGCTGCTCGGGATTCTCTCTCTCCCTCTCTTTGCCCCTCCCTCACTGTATGTGTGCATATGCACGTGTGTGTGGGAGCACATGTGCGCATGAACACTCTCAAAATAAGTAAATAAGTAAGTAAGTAAATAAATAAATAAATAAAATAGAAATCATCTACCTCAAGGCACCTAGTCGGCTCAGTCAGTCAAGCGTCTGACTCCTGATTTCAGCTCAGGTCACGATCTCATGATTTGTGGGTCTGAGCCTTGCATCAGGCTCTCTGCACTGACAACACAGAGCCTGTTTGGGATTCCCTCTCTCTCTCTCTGCCCCCCACCACCCCCCCCCCACTCACTCTCACTCTCTCAAAATGAATAAACTTTAAAAAAAAAATCATCTATCTCTAAAACTAATGAAGCCATCAAGAAATACTCTTCTCCCCCAAGGGCAATCCTGACATTTTTTACTTTTTAACCTGTACAACAGAACAATCTTATCCAACTCCCACAGGACTGCTCCCTAACAAGGAACATCTATACAAACAAAACATTACAGAGAAGTCGAAACAGAAGGACTTTCAGTTGACAAGGGACAGCTGGTTACCTGCTGGCCCTGCAGCCTCTGCTGAAGCTGCATTCGGAGTTGCTTGGGGGTATTTGTCCGAGGTCTCATGATATTGGCCCGCGGGTGCATTCCTTGCAGAGGAAAACTGCCTTGTTGGCTCATCTGATTCATCATGGAGTTAAAAGATGGTGATTGTCCCTGAAGATTAAAGCCTCCTTGCATTGGAGGCCCCTGTGCTGCATACGTCTGCCCATATAACGCCGCCTTCTGATCCATCATTACTGCCGCTTCTTGGCCTTGGAAGGCATCCTGTTTGGACTCCAAAGCTTGTCCCTAAAACATTAAACACATAAATAAACAATGAAGTACATCTGAGAAAGCGACAGAAATCAAATGCTCCAAGGAAGGTAAAACATAAAGTCAATGCATACGAACAAGGATGTCACAGAATTCCAAAGGCAAAATCAAGTTTCTTGTCTGAAGTTCTGTAAGAATCCAGATCATGACCCATCTTTTCACAGATGTGTCCTAGTACCTAGCTCAAAGTCTCACATGGACACTCAAGTATCTGGAGAAAGACTATTTGTTCCAGACCACATTTCTGTACCAACACAGACCAAGCCAAGTACAAAATAAACTAATTAAAACCACAGGGATCAATTAATTCCCACACAATTTCGTACAAAAATGTTTTTGACAGTGGTTAGAAGTGATTTTGGTAGAGACAGGGCATATCAACAGAAGCTCATATCCCCCGAGGCTATTGCTAGCTGCACACACAAAACCTAAAGGTGGTCATTCGCTACTATTTGGCCTTAACAGGCCGGAGGGACTGTTAAGAAACCCATTCATTCAACCAGATTTGTAAGTGCCTGCTATGTGCCGCCACCACCTCTCTGCATGCTAAAAATGTCTCCAAAATAAAGTCCAGCAGCTGACAGAAAAAGCAGTGACACAAACATTCCAGGGGCGCCTGGCTGGCTCAGTCAGTTAAGCATCCGACTTCGGCTCAGGTCATGATCTCGAGTCATGAGCTTGAGCCCCGCGTCAGGCTCTGTGCTGACAGCTCTGGGCCTGGAGCCTGCTTCGGATTCTGTGTCTCCCTCTCTCTCGGCCCCTCCCCAGCTCACACTCTGTCTCTGTCTCTCTCAAAAATAAAATAAACATTAAAAAATGTTCTAAAAAAGAATTCCGCAGGAGGGAAGAGCTGCCACGCTAAGACAAGAAGAGCCTGTCAGATACTGCATTCACCTTTACCGTCCTATCCACGGGCACAGAAGGCCAAGTATGCAGGCAACAGTCTCGTCCCAAAACACACTTCACCCCACTGTGACGGTGACACCACCCTCAATCTCCCTACCCCCCTGATCTCCCCTTTGGAGGCACGTTAAGAGTTCATCAGGGTTCAGTCCTCGGACCTTTTTCCTCTCATTACATTTTCTATTTTGGTCTCATCTACTAGTGACGACTGCTGAACTTGCCTCCGGCTCAAGTGTCTCTGAGTTCTAATTCTGCTTACGCAGATGGCTACTTAACATCTTTACCTGGATGTCTCAGGCATCTCAGACTTCACGTGTAGAAAACACAGGTAGTGGTTCCAAAGAGTCCCTCACCCAAAAGACCCAATTCTCCTCCAATCTTCCCTCATGGCAACATGACAACACCATTTGGCCAGAACTAAAGCCAGCAATCTGGAATCCTCACATTCTCAGCAATCTGGAATCCTCACATTCTCCCCCCTTTTTTAATGTTTTATTTTTGGGAGAAAGAGCGTGAGCAGGGTAGGAGCATAGAGAGAGGGGTACAGAGGATCTGAAGCAGGCTCTGCACTGACAGCAGCAAGCCCGATGAAGGGTTTGAACTCACGAACTGTGAGATCGTGACCTGAGCCAAAGTTGGACGCTCAGCCGACTGAGCCACCCAGGTGCCCCCCTCTCCCTTTCCAAGCATGTGTGTGCATACACGGTCCACCAAGTCCTGTCAGTTTTCTTCCAGGACACATTATGCATCCTTCCCTTCTTCCATTCCACAGCTGTGACCCTCTCTAAGACACTTTCTTGGACTCTTGTAGTAACGGACATCTATGTGTCTACTCTGTCCCCTCATACCAATTCCCCTCCCTACAGAGCCATCTGAAATATCTTTCTATAAAGTAAATCACACTGTAAGTGAAACATGGATCGATCATGCGTATTTACCTCCTTTCTCTTGCTAACTCTACTAAAATACCAGCGAAGAATTTAAAAGGTAGTATTTATCCACAAAACAATGAGAATAAGGAAGGCAACAAGATAAAATATTTCAACAGATATTTGCAAGACAGGAAAAGAGAGGAGTAACCAACTCAAGAGAGTAGGCACCGGGGCACCTGGGTGGCTCAGTAAGTGTCCAACTTTGGCTCAGGTCATGATCTTGCGGTTCGTGGGTTCGAGCCTCAAGTCAGGCTCTGTGCTGACAGCTCAGAGCCTGGAGCCTGCTTCGGATTCTATGTCTCACACACTCTCTCTCTCTCTCTCTCTCAAAAATAAATAAAACATTAGAAAATTAAAAGAGAGAGAGAGAGAAAGTAGGCACTAACGTGTCTGTGGAGAAAAACACACATAAGACACCGAGCCAACGACAGGCTCCACTGGGACGGCAGAGGCTCAGGCAAAGTGCTCAAACGGGACTGGTGAGGAATCTGGGCAGAGAGCAGGGGGCAGCCACCTCCCTGCCCTCCACCTGTCCCCCGACTCCGCACAGCTGCGTGGCCGTACTTTCCACCTACTCCCTCGGCAACCTCAGTTCTGGGACACCAGGCACAGCAGAGGGCAAGGGTAGGCAGAGCCTGAAAACAGGAAGTCTTATTTATGATTTCTAGTAAAATTTTTATTTTTATAATTTTAGATCTTAATACTATGGTAGCATCTACTCGCATCCCCAGCCTAGTCCCCAAAATACAATCAGGTAATAAATTCCCAGGTGAGAAAAACTGTAAAGTGGGAGTAGGAGGGGAGATGCAGCAGTGGCTCCACATGTTGAATTCTGGGGAGTCCTGAAATAAAAGGGCCAGCCCCTGACCAACCACTTCCAGTGACGACTGATCCTTTTTAATGCATCATACTTAAATATAAAAAGACAGCCAAGGATCAACCAGATATCTGACGAAGACAGCTTTCAACATGAAAGTGACTCGAATAAAACGTTACTCAGAGACAAGAAAAAGAGAGATTAAAAAACAGAGACTCGGTGTAATACCCAACATGTCGATCAACATCCAAGAAGAAAAAAACAGAAGAGATAAAATTATTAAAGAAATGATACCAAACGACATGTCTGTAAGCTTTACTAATGTTCAGCCTCATTACTAATAAACGCAATTAAAACTCACGAGTCACCAAACAGAGAGGGAGGGAGGCAAACCACAAGAGACTCTTAAATACAGAGAACAAACTGAGGGTGGATGGCGGGGGGAGGGGCGGGCGGGAGAGGGGAAAATGGGTGATGAGCCTTGAGGAGGGTGCTTGTTGGGATGAGCACTGGGTGTTGTGTGTAACTGATGAACCATGGAAATCTACCCCCAAAACCAAGGGCACACTGTACGTTAGCCAATTTGACAAATTATATTAAAAAACGAAAACACTAGTGTATTAAGAACTGAAAACAAAACTCACTACTTAAAAAAAAGACAGGACACAGAAAATGCCCCCAAACCAAAAAGATTATCTGTGCACTTGATATACAGCAGAATGAATGAAACAAGGCCCATACCAAGATAAGGCTTCCTGCAATTTCAGAGAAAAAGTTCCTGAATAATTCCAAACAGAAAAAACTAATCACACATAAAAACAGGAATCAGACTGACTATGAGTCAATGGCAACAATGTATGCCAGAAAGCTATCAAACAATTCTTTCAGAATGCGAAGAAAAAATTATTTTCAACCCAAAATTTAATGCAGGAGAGTGGAATAAAAGGTATTTTCAGACTTTATCCCATGCAGTGGGGGTGGAGAAATTAACAGAAACTGTGTTTCAACAAAACAAAGGAATAAAGCAAGAGGGAAAACCACTTGGGACCAGAGCTGGGAGATCTGACACAGAAAAGCGTCTAGACCTGCCTCTCAGGACAGAGTAAAGCAGACCAACGGAGAATCACAAGAGGGAAACAAGGAACTGAAGAATTACCTAAAAATGTGTCTGAATACGTGAAGAAAAAATTAAGAGAAATTTTACAGTTCCGCTGCAGTATTTGGAAAGGATTAGAAATGTGTAAAAACAAAGCAAATCAAAAAGGAAGGCAGCTGGGGCGCCTGGCTGGCTCAGTCGGTTAAGCATCTGACTCTTGGTTTTGGCTCAGGTCATGATCTCTCAGTTTCACGAACTTGAGCCCCAAATCAGTGCAGAGCCTGCTTGAGATTCTCTCTCTCCCTCTCTCCGCCCCTCCTCCACTCATGCTGTCTCTGTCTCTCTCTCTCAAAATAAATAAACAAAAACAAAAAACAAACAAACAAAAAAAGGGCAATTAACTCAAAATCAGACAAACCAAAACCAAAACCCTATACAAACTATACCTGGCTCAGCAAGGAGTCAAATTAATATAAATATTGACCACCTATTTAACAACAAAAGACATAATTATTCTGGGAGTACTATGTAATGCGTATGGATGTGGAGAAAGGGGAGCTAAATACAGATCCACAATTTAT